GGGTTTTGTTGTGAGTTTTACTTTTGAACAATTTATTTTATAACTTTTTGTGTATAAATTATTCAAAAAAAAAATAATAATAATTTAATAAAATTATATAATTATAATTATATGATGAATCAAATTTTTTAATGAATAACACATGAATTTACAAAATGACTGATTCTTATTATTAATATGATGGGACACAATTGGACTAAAACTGGACTTCTCTTCAAGAAGCAAAATTTTATTATAATTATTGCATATTTCTAGGTGAAAAAACCATCCACATGCACTGGTTGGTGAAAATGGTAAAGAGAAGTTTAAAGTGAAATGGTAAAGAGAAGTTTAAGTAAGATACTTCGCGTATTATTAAATTTAGCATAGCAAAAACAAGATATCAATTTTTCATTTTTTTATTAGGGAAAATTACAAGCATATCCCTTAAAGTTTATTTAAATTATAAATTATCTCTTGTGGTTCTAGAAATTACATTGTGTTCCCTAAGGTTTCTAATTTCATAACAAATGGGTCATTTTATTAATAAATCATCAAGTTAAATTTTTTTTTTTTTGATAAGCAAAAGGAAACAACTTTATTGATATCAATAAATGGATTACATCAATAAAGCAAGGGTGAAGAGCATCGAACATCATAGTGTTACCCTTCATCCCAACTAGGTTGGCACCAAGAGCAACACCCAATCATTTGAGAGCTCATGCCAAAGGGTTGGCAAGATACCAACACCACAGAAGAAAACAAAACAAACAGGACACAAAGACCAAACAACAATAATAAGTCTACCAAAGAACAGCATATAGCAGCAGCACAATAGTTGAGCTATCAAAACCAACCCAGCAGCAGAAACAATACCAAGATAGCAGCAACAATAGCACACCAGCACACACCACTGCCTTAGGGTCAATCGATAGCAAGACAAAACAGCCCCATGCTGCCTTTGGGACCACCCTGCAACCATCAATCACAGCACCAGATCTCAGTAACTGCAACATAATTGAGCAGAGTCTTAACTCCCAGAACAAGACAACTCAACCCAGCAGCGACTTCAACTGATAGGCATATTTCGAATTTGCTATAGGTTATAGATAAATTCCTGAATTGAGTAAAAGCACCCCTTGAAGTGATCCTTGACCCAGAATGTACTACAACAAAATTGAATTTTCACGGCTTGCAATGCATGTCGTAAAAACTCTTTCACGGCATGCATACAAATGCCGTTATATGACATGCCGTAGAAAGTTAAGCATCATTTACGGCAAAAAGGTAAAGTTGTAAAAAGTAATAAATTAAACATTAATGACATACTTTGTATGTCGTATATAATTTTTTACGACATTTTTTACATGCCATAAATCATTATATTTTTCATGGCATAATTTTGCATGCCGTAGAAAGTTATTTTTAATCTATTTATAGCATACTTTGTATGCCGTATATAATCTTTTACGACATTTTTTTACATGCCAAAAATCATTACACTTTTCACGACATAATTTTGCATGTCGTAAAAACTTATTTTTAATATATTTATGACATACTTTGTATGCCATATATAATATTTTACGACATTTTCTTGCATGCCATAAATCATTACAGTTTTCACGACATAATTTTACATGTCGTAGAAAGTCATTTTTAATATATATACACACACACAAGAACACAACCTTGCTTAGCCATATGCACCGCCAAACAAAGGCAGTAGCTTATAAAGTGCGGCAACTTGTGAACAAATCAAGCAGAAGCAGCAACTATGAAGGAAAAAAGCTAAGATCCACACACCAAACAACCAGCATACTAGTCAACTTCTATCATGTCAAGCTAGTAACAACCTCACATATGTACAAAGAAAAGTATCCAAATCATATGATTCACTAATTTTCAAAATATGATTTTAAATATACAACTCCACCTATTAATTTCTTGGGGGGAGGGGGGACACAATTTGCATAAATAAAACAGAAATAAATCAAAGAATATATCATTGGTATTTTACATGGTTCAAAAACTTATACATCTCAAGACCAAGTAAAATAAAAAGTTGCATCCTTCAAAGAAAACATGCATTGTTCTAGAAAATTTGAATGGAAAACAAAAAGAGTACAGAAGAAAAGAAAAGCAAATAGATGCATCAGATTCTTAAATACCAAAAAAATAAAATAAATAAAATAAAAAAAAAAAAAAAAAAAAAGAAGAAGAATTTTGGCTTTTGTTTCACAACCAAAACTACATCCCAAGAATCAACCTTTGGCACACTGATTCTAGCTAGAAGACGGAAGACTCCCACTCCCAATCCAGCAATCCTATTCCAAAATAAAAGATATTACCAAAAAAAAAAAAAACTCCATAAACGAACAGAAAATCAATAGCTTCAACAATATATATATACATACCTCAAAAGGTGATGGATTGACTCAGGATCAAGGCAAAGAATAGTAGCAGATCCTACAAATCACATAGCACACCGTTATATGTCACACAAGCAATAGAGAGAGAAAGAGAACTATGGCAATTCGAAAGCAAACAGAACATTAATCAGGGAAAAAAATACCTGAAAGAGATGGATTGTGTATTGTTATATAGAGAGAGACGAATCATTTTGAACCATCAAAGAGGCGATCTGAGTTAAAATGAATGGAAAAACAGAGAGAGTGAGAGATCTGAGAGAGAGAATGAGAAGAAGATAGAAGTGCATAAATGATATTTCAAATGAATATTACATCAGATGTTGCTATGATATGATAGTGTATGGTGTATTGTACTCCATGATTTATATCAATATTACAGAATAATTATCAATCATAGCATGAACTCTATGCTCTATTTTCGATTTATTGTGTGTGAAATTCAGTATCTAACAACCATATCCAACGCATAATTAGGCACAAAAAAAGATATAAAGGAAAAAAGAAGCAATACCAGATGCAAGATATAATGGAAACAGTTACTAATTAATATACCTGTTCTAGTGCATCTTTGCTGACTTGATGCATTTTACCTTCACCGTCAATATAAGTCAGAGCTATTCGCTTATCAGTGGGGTTAAATGGAAGGAAGTGAACCTCTTGAATGCCAGCCTGTGCCTTAGTTTTTAGTAGAAGTCAAAGAAGAAAAATAGAAATACACATTAAATGGAGAATTGATAACAAAAGTCATTCAGAAGGAAAATCTCACTCAATATTATGGTGCATTTGTTTCAGCTATTCAGAATCAAAAGCGTAAATTTTTTTTGCACCCCCATTCTATGTAGTAGAAAGTTTGTATACTAATTAACACACCTCTTTTGGATCAGCCAACGTCCCGACAATAGCAGCGTCTATTGCATCTTGGTTTTCCACTCTTGAGGCTCTAGCAGCCATCAAAACTACAGCCTCTCCATCTACTCCTCTAGCAAAGACCTATGAGAATACATCCAGACAAAAGGTTGGAACATGAACTACATTACAGAATTTAGAAATTCAATTTGAAGCAAACAGTCCCCCAAACAACCTCAATAATACTTTTGTCAACAGTCAGTCAATTCAATGTTAGAGTTCCTGTTTTGTCACTGCAAAGTACAGCCATGCCTGTCATTTCTTCGATTGTTGTCATTCTTTTTGTGATGGCTCCCTACAATAATAAAGAATGAAGATGAGCTTGTACATAGTAACACGCCTCAAAGTATTGCATTAGTACGCCCCTCCAATCAAATAATGAAGGGGTTGTGTTTATATATATAGATGCATGAGGGTTCTTGTTTTCTGGACTATATAACTATTGGCTATCTTTGAGATTGCACCATTTGTTACCATAATTTCTGCCTTATGTCCCCTCAACAAAACCATCAAAGTTCTCAAATAGAGCTTCATTGCCCCCTGTGGAACCATTAATTCCATCTCAAAGCCAGCCCTATTCTCCTACAACTTAAAAGGGATGTCTCTCTCATCTTGTGGGTTTTCGAAAGACTATTGATTAATTGTCCCTCTTTTGTCTCTTGTTCTGGTTCATGGTTCCTCAAGCCAACCCCCAAAAATCTAAACACAAATATCAATATCAACTAACAATTAGCACATACAAGTATCAATAGTACTTTATTACTTCTGCTACCAAGTCATCTTGGTGTATAATAATTAAGATCCAATCAATTAACATAACATTAAAGTACCAAATATCTGCAATCATTTCTTATCCGTAGCCTACACCAAAAACTCACAAAGAGAATTCCCCTAACAATGCAAGCTTGCCTATTCAAAGATTAGAAATTACCGTCACAAAGAGCAAGCTTAACCTTCCTTCCCTTGCATTGTTTGAAAGCAAAAAGCTTGTATATATCAATCTCTGCTATGTGATTCATGGAACCTATGTGACTGTGAATCTTAAATGCATCCCCATTATCACATTAAAATGCTTATGAAATCTAAAGAACAAATCATGAATGTTCATGGAATATTTTTTTTCTTTTTTAATTGGTAGAAAAATATGAAAAGAATTACATTCGGAATTATAGTCCAATAGTTGTAAAAACTCTGAAAACCAATCTAATAACTAACCAAGTTAAGAAAGAACACCATAATGGGGATATAATAAACAATACAGCAAAGACTATCATAATTATTAAATTTAACATTAAATATTACATAATTAAATATGATACGATGAGATATAATACAATAGAAATAAAGACAGGAAATGGATTGTTTACTCTTAACAAATAAAGATAAGCTTTTTAATTCTAAATTAAAGAATTCAAAATGAATCAAATCTTTCCCAAGGTAGATACATTTGATCTTCATTTAGAAAAAAATAAAATTAGTAGTCTTGTTATTAAGTATAAAGCTTTTCCCACACTCTATCTATATGCAACATATACAAATTTTTCTTACCAACTTTTCATCTAATCACCAAGAGAAAACAAGCATTAAAAAGTGACTAAGGAGAGAAAATTTGTAATCTGCTCCACATTTGTTGGTGTGAAGGTAAAATTAGCTTTTGGTGTGGAGACTAAAGCAACAATAAAAGGTGGTATTCTATTCAACCATAACTACATGGCTCCAATAGAAAAGCAGTGGCCTAACCACAAGGAAAATTCAAGCATACCAATAGAAACAAAGAACAGAGAAAAAAAGGAAAAAAGAAGAACATTGAAACCCCCTTTATGCAAAGATTAATAATTAACATTTTGTCATAACTCAATTTGAACACAAAACAACCTACAAAAAAGCTGAGAAGATTTTCATCTTCTTATAAGGAAATTCCTTTTTCATACAAATTTGTGCCGATATTGTTTATCAACAGAAAAATTGAAACTAGACGTACAAGAAAATTATTCCATAGAAAATTCTATCACAATGAAGTAGATATAAATTCTTCATAGATACAAACTCTAAACTTGAAATTGAAATGGAATGCAACTTAATAATAGAGAGAAAAGGTTAATAACATAAAATATTCTTTATGATTTTAACAGCAAAACCAAGCATATTTAGGTGAAATCGTTGTGAAGTTCAAGAAGAAGAGATCAAATTGTTCAGGTGGGAATTTATTACCTAGGTTAGAGGCCAAGAGGTTGAAAGAGAAGCAATTGATCATTTGTATCATGAAATAGACGTCGAACTCGGTGAAAACAATTTCCTTCTGATCACGTAAAATCTATCTGTAGACACCCCATTTTTGACCGTCCTCAAGACTTGGACGTCATCGTTTGAACACTCGATGATTATCCATGTTCGTGTTCGTCTTGAGTTCTCAGAGGTTTCGACCGCGCGCCTTGCCTCAAAACCTCTCGACTTGTCTGTTTTGTGCTTGGTTGTGGACCAGGCACTTGAGTTTTTGCCTCTGAGGGTAGGAAATGGCTTGTTGGCCATCCCCACACCTCACCGGCCATGGCTTGAGGCCACCGGCCCTGTTTTATTGCCATCGGCCATTAGTGATGGCCGATCAGCACTGTTTTTGGTCGACCGGCCATTTGTTTTGGTCGATCAGCCACCTTTTCTGGTCAAGCCCTTTTCTTGAGGAGGTTTGAACCTTTTGAACCCCTCATTTTAGCTTCTTGAAGAAGCTTGAACCTTTTGAACCTTTGGTTTTAGCTTCTTGAGGAAGCTTGCACCTTTTGAACCCTTGGTTTTAGCTTCTTGAGGAAGCTTGAACCTTTTGAACCCTTGCTTAGCTTCTCCAAGAAGCTTGAACCCTTGTCTAGCTTCTCTAAGAAGCTTGACCCTTGCTCTAGCTTCTCCAAGAAGCTTGCACCATTTGCTCTAGCTTCTCCAAGAAGCTTGAACCTTTTACTCTAGCTTCTTGGAGAAGCTTAAACCCCCTTTGTTCTTCTATAAGAGGGAGCCTCTCCCTCATTAGCAAGGGTTGAAGAAAATTGCTAAGGCAAGGGACGTACATATCTTCCTATATCTCTCTACTTTCAGCTCCAAATTGTTTGGTTCTTAGCCCCTTTGCACACCAACTCTTAGCCTAACACCTCCATCATCAACCTAAGGATCTTGGAGGCCATTTCCAGAGCTTGAAGGTCTGGTTTTTGGGTCTCAAAGTCGCTGGTTTTGCTGAAGCTACAAGGGTAACACACTTTACCCTCTTTTGGTCTTTATCTTGCTTCATCTTTTAGCCATACTTGCAAACATTTTCGAGCTTTGTCATAAACTGAAAAAAGTCTTATTTTGAGCTCCTGTTGAAGTTTGTTTAAGAACACTTTTGTGTTTGGGGTTGTTTACCCCCTCTTAGGCCTTGTTTGGCCTCATTTTTGTGCCTTTTTTGTGAGCTTCGGGACCACCTTGTATTGGCCTTCCCACCACTAAAATCCATCCAGAGGGATTTCAGTGGTGGGGATGGTGTTTTGAGGTCCTAAGAAGGAGAGGGGTGATCCTCTCCTTTGTTGTCTTGTTTACTAGCATTTTTGGCCCTTCAAAGGAGCCCTTATTTGCACACTTCGTGAGCTCGGTTCAGGCATTTTTTAGTGAGTTTTAGGGCCTGCTTGAACCTTTTCTAGAGCTGTTTTTGTCATTTAAGGCTTGCCTCTTGCATGTGTAGAGCAACCCCTTGCATGGCCTTCCAAAGGAGCACCTCATTCTAACATGTGTTGACCATGTTTCAGTGGGTTTTTGGGCTTTGTTTGGCATGTTATAGCTCTGACATTTACTGGTTTAGTTGGCTCTCACATGCTTCATGTACTTGTTTTGCAAATCCTCTCATTTGCCTTAACATTCACCTTGTGTTTAGACCACCATGCTTACATGTTTTGGCTTAACCTCATGAAGATTTTAGCTTTTTTTTGCCATGCTTGAGGTCTGGTTTTGGTTGTTTTGATCATGTTTGCCATGATTTGTATAGCCATCATGCATTTTAGCTTGCTAGCTTTTGGGTGTATGGGTCACTAGCATGCTTCACTTGGCTTATTCTCGTGATTTGGCATCATTGGAGATCATATTTCAGTCCATGTTTCATTCTTGTATGCTTACATTTTCCATCCTTTCAATGCTTTGAAAAGTTGATGTCTTATGCTCCATGTTTAGGCCCTTGTGTATGCATGCTTGTGTGTGTGTTTTCATGCCTTTGTCGCATCATTTTGGCCGCTGATTTGGGCCTATTTGAGAGCTGCCCATATTGGTTTAAGACCATCCCTTGCATGTTGTTGCATGCTTGCCTTGCATGTTGTTACATACTTGGCTCATTAACATGTTGTTTCATGTTTAATTGCATTTGGCATGCTTGAATGATTGCATATCTTGTCCCTTTACATGTTGTCACATATTTGCCTTGTATGCTTGAATGTCCATGTTGCATGCTTGAGCTATATTGCATGGTTTGGCATGCTTGTTGCATTGCATTTTGCATGCATGCTTGTTGCATTGCATTTTGCATGCATGCCTTGCCTCTTGATCAACCATGATAGAGGTTGGGTCCTTTATGTGTTTTGTGTGCATTCCATTTAACATTGAAATTGCATACTCCGGCTCCCTTGGCCATCATGCATCGAAATACGTGATTGGTGGCCCGAGGACCAAGGGCCACACTCCCTCGAGTCCATAACATGATGGGGAGGGTGTTCGTGCAACATTTTGCTTTGAAAATCCTATGCCATGCACTGTCTGTCCTCTGTTGCAGCAAAACCAGTGTTCTGCAGGAAGAAATGGCCGGTCTGCTACTTGCAGTGCCGACCGACCACCAAAATCCAGCCGGTGGCTTCATTAATGGTCGATGACCAGTTACAGATGGTTGGTGGCATTTCCATTTGGTCAATGACCTCTCAGCATGTCTCTAAGGCAGTTCAGAAGTGTCATAGAGGTTGGCACTATTTTCAGAGATGCAAAACAGTGCAGACAGAGGCAATTGTGTCATGGCAATGGATTTCCGAGCGCAACCAATCTGAGAATGCGTGCATTCCTCTTCCCGAGGCCTTTTACTACTTTCCATAGCTTAGTTAATTTGTTTAATTAGTTAAGTGTTATGTAATATTTAATCAGCTAGGTTAGTTAATTATTTATTCGGTTTGTATTATTTATTCGGACCCTTCGAGTGAGGGCAATTGTGTATTAAATGTACATGAGTGTGTGTATGT